GACGTCAAACCTCAAACGACGAGAAATGCATTGTTTATTACAAATTATATTTTACCGGCTATAACTTTTATAAACATTATTCATTCATTCATTCTGGTTTTTATTAAAAATGTATCATTGCAGTACAAAAGTGAATTGAGTCAAATTACAAAATCAATCTTAAAAAATACATTATATTAAGGTTCGATTTGGACTTGCTGTGTTAACAAAAATCCGTCATACTGGCTAAATATCTACAGCCTTTTTTTTTTATCATGAGGACGTCTTGAGCCTAGCTGTAAATTAGGACGCAATACGATAGTTATTGACCTTGTTTTATATTTCTAAATAGTCTCACTCTAAAGACCTTAGGGCAAACACATCAACTAAAAAATAACATTGATATATTTTAGGTAGACTCAATTAAAATGAGGAAACCACAAATGATCAGAAGTAATGCCATGTGGATAGAATTACTACGGTAAAAAAAAAGAAAAAAAAAAGAAGACTAAATCACTCATCTGAACGGGATGAATATAAATGACTTAAAAGAGTCTTTCGAAATGTACCCTTAGCGGTACATATTCACAAAATAAATAATAAATATTAAATAATAAAATAAATAATCAAAACCGCTTAACGCCGATTCTTCTTTTGTGGCACGTCCATATCGCGCGGGCCTAATCAGACCGGGAATAGCGCCTTTGTGATCAGACACTTTCAGTCAAATAGAGTCGTTGAATGTTCAGTTCAAATCGGTCAACGATTTAATTGTAGTCGATTCGAACATAAGTTATGAGAAAGCTAATTTTGCCTATCAGTTTTGATGTTAGGAAATTTTACTTAATCAACGCGTAAGCTAATAGGCATCAGACGACCGCAATTACGAATGCGCTCAGATGTTGCGGACAACATTCTGTGATTACATGGATAGAATATTAATTGCTAGGCTAGACCATATACAATATTATGTGATAAAAACAAGAGAGTTAACCGAATGAATAAACCGTGGTAGCCAAAGGCTAAGCCCAACATCATAAGCCTATCTACTGTTAGGACTTACCTTGAGTATGCCTTGAGGCACAGGAATCCGAAAGAAGTCCCATGTGCGCGCCTATTAGAATCTCATTATTATTATTATCATTATTATAACGCAATAGGATGACGTCACCTGATTGCCACGGGTGACCAGTAGAGAAAATAAATTACTTAATACTTAGCTAGAATAGCAGTGTGTTTAAGCAAACATATGATCTATTGCCTTGTAATAAACAATGACATGATTAGTTGTGAAGTACTTATTATTAACATTTGTACGACCTAGGCCTAACATGTTTTAAACACACAAATAAACATGTGGGATAACACCTCCATTCATTTTACAGTACCATTTGATATGTCATTATTGTTAATATGTATTAATATTATTTATTGTTATCATTTTCATTTCCATCATCACCTTCAACATCACCATCATCATTTTAATATCTGTATATATATATATACAGATAT